ACTTTTTTTTTATTCGGCTATTATTATCAAAATCAAGTATTTGAATAGAAGAATAACTATAAAAATAGAATTTTTGTTGAGGGACAGATAGTGCATGAAATTCTTTCTAGATTGATCTATTTCTTTAATTTTATCCTAAATCTCTTAGTTATGAAATGCAAAGTATTGAAAACTGCTAAAACTTATTATATTATCACTTGAAACAGATTAGTATCTCTTCGTACGAAAGAAACATTCGAAAAATAAATGTGTAAAAAAGATTGAAAGCAACACATTCGCTTAAATTTTAGTCGTTGACTGTATATCTATATATATATATTGTCTCAGGATTTCAAAACATTTTTGTTTTCTTTCCGTGGTAACTTCGTCCTAAAGTGGTTAATAGAAATATTAAATATGAGCAAAATTGTCAAAAAATAAGTAAAAGTTACGGTTTTTTGTCCTGTTTAAATCCATAGAATGTTTTTTAGACTTTGGAAATTCTTTCTACTTGTTTATTTTTTCAACATTTTTAGTTCTTTTGTTTATAGTTTCTATGTCAATATTTATGCTATTATTTCACTTATTCATATTAAACCACAAACCAATATCGAACATGAATACTCTATTGTCTTATCATAAATGATATTTTCGACATCTTTATTTTTCAAAGTAAGACTAAAGATGAAATTGAAAAACATAATTATAAATGTTTTTATTGATTAGGAATTAAGAGCAAATAGAAACGTCTTTTATATGATACAAAATTTTTGAATAATTCCAGATATTTCCTTCGAGAGTCTTTTATGACATTGAAATCTATTTTTAGGTTGAAACAAGATTGATAAAGCTAATTTGTTTTTTTTAATCAAAAGAAATATAAGAAAAGCAAGACAATCTTACAATATTCTTGTTGTGATAGGAATTTTTTATCTTCACGATTCTAATCCGCCTACTAATGAACAGATATTTTAGGTTTTTAAGTAGTAGTAAAATTCATGCACATCTAATCAGAAGATTTTCAATTTTCTTCAAGAAAATCATCAAAAAAATAATTTAAATTGATTAAAAAAAAATGATTTAGCACATATTTGTATTTGAGTGAAATTTCAATATTAAAATGGTCGAAATCTAAATAGAAGCTAGATTATTGATACTTTTTCTCCATATTGAATAATCTTAGCATAGTCTTCTATTAAATCTTTCAAGATTTCTGATACGAGAATCTAACTGAATCTTAAAAATAAAACTAATGAATTCATATTGATTTCTAATAAGATCTAATTGAATTTCAACAAATAAAATTTAATATTTAACTAGTTTATTAAATGTAGATGACAGTCAAGCTTTACTCAATTAAGATATTGTGATGCCAAGTTAGGAAAACCGATCATCAGAGAAATTGATATATATAAAAATAAAAATAGTCATTTCTATAATGAAATCGCTCGAGATATTTACAGTTCATAGGAATGCATTTCTTTCGTGTCGCTCTTATTAGAAGTCGAATTATCTATGGTTCGATTAATCAAGTGATCGAACTATAAAAGGAATAATAAACTAGATATGGAAAAATTCATTAATACAAGAACTCGATTAACATGTTTTTAAAAGAGACTCTCCTATTATCGCTTACATTTTATTCAAGATTGGAAAAGAAATTATATGGATTTGATCATGAAACTTCATCTTCACGTTTCAACTAGAATTCCCAAACATTTCATTGTTAAGATCATGGCGACTAAAAATAAAAGCTTTTATTGCTTAGATTCAGTAAGTAAAAAATCAACGAAAATTCGTAAAGGACTACACAAATTCACTCCGAAACGATTTTAAATTCTGTCAATAGGATTTGAATTAACATAAGAAAGATAAAAGATTTTACCTCGAGTCAATTTTATCATATCAAAGACTTTGATTATTACTCCTACTAATAAGATATGACTGAAGACTAGTTCAACATTTGTTCGTATCATATTGAAAGTTCAAAAGCTTTGATCTCGTCTCAAAATATCGATCTCTTTGATAAAGTTCAAATGAGTTTCTAACTCTATTCGTTGTTCTCTAGATCATTAAAACACAAGAGTACAAATTTTTTCATAGCAAAAACAAAAAAAAAATCCGGCAAAGTATAGACGACGAATGCCTACGCGATCGACTACTTAAAAGCTCTGCTTCACATTGCATTAATTATTAGAATAGAATAGGAAAATAACAAGTCGCGTTTCTAAAGAAACCAAAATTGTTTTGCTACATTATTATTTTCTCAATTTTATAAATTTCTTTCTAGTCATAGTATTTTTTTGTACAAATGTATATTGTAATATAGAATAAAAATAGTTTTGTATGTATTTGAATATTCATTCAGAGATAATAATAATCCATTAAAAATTTATTCAAATAATATTCATCAAGAAATAAAATCAATTTTAATATTTGTATTCAAACTGATTTGAAAAGAGAAATGATTTAATTCAAGATAAAATAATAATACCAATGATTAGATGAACATAAGATAGTAAATATACTAAACTATGATAACTATATTCAATCAATATAATTGACCTCATTGTCAGATTGAAAATAATATTAGTAAAGTTGATAAGAGCACGTCAGATCAACGTCTAAATGTAAAAATAAGTAAGAATTAATATTTATTTTATTTCATTGACTTATTAGTTTGTATATTAATAGAAAAAAAATCTGAAAGCTTGAAAACAAAAAAAAAATTTGCAAGACATAATCGATTAAAAAGTGATGATAAGACAGATGTACTTTTGACAAATTGCTTCCATTCAACGTATTGATAAGAGGATATTAATGTATTAAAGATAGTTACTAAATGACATAAAATAATTGATAAATTAGCGATAGTACCTAATCTATAAGCTGAATAATAAAACAAAAAAGTCTTTTCCAGATTGCGCTACTAATTTTATTGTCATAAATTAAAAAAAAATTGTTTCATGCTCTCTGTATATTTATAGTTTTTCATTTGTCTTCATTCTTTTGACAGCTTGATTTTCAGTAACAAACAAGAAAATTTAATATGAAAAATATTTGTTAATGAATAAAATATACGAAAAAGAAAAATAATTTATTATAAGAATGTAATAAGAAATTATCTTTTTCAAATTCCATTTGATTTCTGCTTTAGTTTCAAAAACAAAAAAAGGAATATTTTTTTTTTTTATTTATAAAATTAAAATTAGTTAAAAAATGAACAATACTGTTTGGAATAGGAAGAAAAAAAAACGTAATCATTATTGGGAAAATAATTTGATCTGTTTTTGACAACACTTCTTTCAGCTTGATTAGCATCATCAAAGTAATTCTATATATTTCTCGTCTCGCTTATTTCCATATGATTGTTGATATAAAAGAAAAATCAAGTAAATATTTTTGCGTGACATTTCAATAAGTATTACAAAAACAACATTGAGACTATCCTGCATAAAAAACAAAAAGGTCAATTTTCGTCAGATTTATCGAAAATGAAGATAAATGGATGTAAGGATAGCCCAAGGCCTGATCTTTTATAAATGACATGATTTTTTATTCAGCATCTCATTTTGTTGCCAAAAATCTTGATGATTTCTGTCATCGCCTATTTAAAAAATATGTTCTTCTTAGAAAAAACAGTAAATCTTTTTTTTTCTCTGTTTATGCTCTTTCTTGAGTACATATCTTAGAATGCTCCAAGAAGTTTCATTGTTTATAAGAGTATGTCAACATACAGAACATAATAGACTTTGTTTGTTGGACTCAAATTATTTTTCCTTTATTATATGAAAGAGTACTTTTATAATTCGAGTGACCTTTATTGATAGCATTTCGTGACATCAATCGTTTTTTCTTTTTAAAAATGTCAGAATTTAAAATCAAAGGATTCTGATATGTCCTCAATTTTGACTGACAGGCTCTTTTCAAATGAAAAAAAAAAATTAAATGTAAACAATAAAAGCCTACAAAGAACTTTGAGTTTCAAAATAAGCTGCTTATTTACTCTTGTTTGTTGAATATCTTGTGAGAATGTTATGTTTTAGAACCGGAAATTTCATGCTGTCTGAATCTACCTGATCTAAGATCTATTTCTGAGAAAATCTTACGAAAATAAATCTATAGAGTTGAAAAAGAAAATATGAATTTCTTTTGTTTTTCAAGAAGTTTTGAACGAATTAATAACTATATTTATTATGAATAATTTTTGTTATTAATCAAATCGTCGTCGAATATTCTTCGAATATTATTGTATGGATGATCGATCTAATTGATAAAATCTTTGATTGATATTCTATTGAAAATAATTCTATACTATTTTATTTTTCATATTTTTATAGATTTAATTATAGGTTTTATTATATTTTTTTAATTTCTATATTAAAAATAAAATTTGAATTTCATATTAATGACGGTAAGAAGTTCTATAAATCATTTATATTTTGTATGCTGATGCTTTTTATTTTTTTTTTAAGGTTAAGTTTTATCATTGAAATGAAGCAAAATAAAATAGTGTGAACTACAGTTATATTTTCAAGCAATTTGTTTATTATTTTAAATTATTCTATAGAGAATAAATAATAGGATTTTATTATTTGTCATATGACATCAATGATTTATATGAAAAGAAAAGCTCATTATCAAAACATATTGTAAAAGTAATCAAAAAAATTTGTTTAATTGTCAAGAGGATTAGTTTTTTTAGTTATCAGAAAAAAAAAATATAATGAGACAAACGACGACATTTTCTGCATAGAAAAATATAAGATTATATTAAATATTCATTCATATGTCATGAAGATTTAAAATAAACATAATGAAAAATCTATTGTCTGTTATTTCTTCTTTACTTAATTTTTCTATATTCATTTATGAACAAAAACAAATTAATAAAACAATTTTATTGATGATGAATAATTTTCTTCTTTAAAGAATTAATAATGAAATGTAAAATACATCAATGTATTATCAGTTGGATGAAAATAGTTTATGGAAGAATATTATTATTGTTTTTTTTTTTTTTATGCAACAAAGAACGATCCAAGATGATTTCGAGCATAACCACGGTTAGTTAACATTGTATGAATACCCTCTTAAATAAATAAATCAAATAAATAATAAAACTAAAACAAGAAAATATTTACGTATAGCTTGTTTAGGTTCTGATAAATGTTCCCTTCGACTACCTTCAACAATACGTAATGGATGATTCAATTCGGATTGAATTGGAGCTTTATAAATAACTCGATTCTTTAAAATCCGTCTAAAAACAAATAAAAAGAAGACTAAAATTGCTTTTTTTTTGTTCGTTTTTGGATAAATACCCATGATCATCTGAGACAGTTTCTAATTGAACAAAAGTACGTGCTTTTCCTGCAAATGTTTCACCATTTTGATCATATTGACTTTTGAGAATAAAATCAAGTGAATCATTAGGTGCCTTAGGATCATGTATATAAATTTCATGACGACCAGAAGAAAGCGTTGCCGTTGAATATAAACGACTCCATGGTTCTGCACGTTGTGTTTCATGTGTTTCTTCACGATGAAATGGAATTTTCTTTTGAGCTTCATGACCTGAAAATGTTTGATCATTTTCAAAACGTGGATATGATAGAGGATCTCGATGATTGACAGCTCGATGAATCGTATGCGTCATTTTTTCTTCTGCGTTTTTTCTATCAGATAGATTTTCTTGTGCTTCTTCATAACTCATATACAATAGAAACTGAAATAGTGTTGCCTGACAACCAACCATCCTTCAATCAGATAAATAGTATATAAACAGTCATATTTGTTTTTATTTTCATTATTATTTGATTAACGTAGTTATTCATCCGAAGTCGAATCTTTGCTTTTTTTTCACTTAGAGGACGCTACTAATCAAGTTAGACATGCATCGATTAATGAATGTTTGTATGAGAATCTGTTCAATTTGTTGAATAAGTAGAAGATTTGCATAAAATAATTCATAAACCTATTGATTAAAGAGAAGTCTTAAATTTGATAATTAATATCTGTTCGATTGAAAGAGTCTTAAGAAGAAAAAAATAAAAAGAGCAAACCTAAAAGTAGTCGTCTCGTATAATTCAAGTATCGATCAATTCTATCGATATTAATTCAATGATTTACCTGATGTTGATTATCAAACATGTCTGATGTGATCGGCAATGATTAATCAATGATTTAAAACCTAACTTAGATTTATTCTGTGTTTATTTATTACTCGGGTTATGATAATAACTGCTATAATGTGCTTTATTTTGTATTTTCTAGAAATTTCATATGGATGACTGATTTATCTCGATATAGTATCATTAGTCTTGATAAAAAGAAGAAAAAAAGAAAAGATAATGTTTCAATGAATTTGTTTTGTCTTATAATAAGAATATCGATGAAAAGACTTTTTAAGTCGAACTTGAATAAGTCGATATTTATTGTTGCATGACATAAGATTTATTATTTTTCTTTGTTAGAAAAGAATTTCTATCATAACTATAATAATATTTCTCATTGAATAATCAAAAAAAAAAGGCAAGGAAAATCGAAATAATTTTCTTTTTATTTTAATGTTAGACTTTGTTTAAATCAATTATCAAAAACATTCAAAAAGACAAAAAAGGTCAATGAGTATGATAGACATTTTTTATGTCATTTGATAACTTCTTTTCTTTTTTTAGTTTATGAAAGTTTTTCATAGTGTAATTAAACAGAGATTCAATTTGTTTTTTTTGTAGAAGAAAAATTTTGTATATTTGTAACTTTATTGTGTTTTTTCTGTTTCTTTTTTGTAATTAACATCGTTCTTTTATCTCTCATTGTCTTTTGCTTGTTCTCTTTTTCTTATTATGCAGAACTACAAACTGGATGATCATCCGAACCATGTTTTGTTGTTGTTATTTTGTCAATGAGAATAGTTTCTGATAAGGAAAATGTAGGATGTGACATCTTATTTATCGCATTGCATTCATGTATTTCTTACTTACGATATTGGAATAAGAGAAAAAAAGTCTGTACTTATTATTTGTCGACAATCTTAGATGTTATACATTCATTTGGTTGTGTCTAATTGTCTTGTGTGGAATGTTGACTACCATTCAATTTCATTTAGTTCTTATTGAATTGAAAGTTGACATGCAATGATTACATTCATTATTTCTCTGTACCTTTTTTTTTTAAATTGATATTAATAGAAAAAGAAAATTGATTGGTAAAATATAAGTAAGTACAAATCACTTCATAAGAAGAGAAATGTTCGATATTATATTATTTTTGACTATATATATGTTTTTGTACAAGAAAAAGAAAAAAGTAAAATTTTTTTTAGATTTATTATATTGATTTAAAAATGTCATCTGATAACGATATATATCGTTGGTATGCAGATGTAATTGTATATCGTGGTTTTGGTCCATTAATAGCTTGTTTGGGTATTGTTGGTGGAACACTTTCTTTACTTGTTTTTCGTCGAAAATCATTAAAAAAAAAATCATGTTCAATTTATTTTTTTTATTTGGCATTAGCTGATCTATTATGTATGATTTGTTGGCTTGTACATTTTGTTTTACCAACATATGATATTCATCTTCTTACTCAATCAAATTTTTTTTGCAAATTATTTGTATTTGCAATGTATTTTGCTTTTGATTTAGCTAATTACCTTCTTACTGTATGGTAAGTTTTATTTTTATTTTTATTTAAATTTAATTGTTATTATAATTGAAGTTAGACAATATTACAATCATATCTAGATATATATATATATATAATGAAACGAATAATTTGTCCATATGCTTATCGTGATAGATATTCAACTCCTTGTCATTCATCGAGATTTCGATTAATATGTAAAAAAGAGGACAATCGTTAACTATTATAACATAGAAAATAAAACGAGAATATATTGTGTGGCAACGATCATAGTATAATAAGACTAATTTAGGAAGGTCGAATATATCTCGAATTGTTGACAGAATAATTAATTTCTTACCGATTTAATAAAAACAAATAAGATATGACAAAAACAAATCTCTTTTCATAAGAAAATATTATCTTATATGGTCAATATTTGCGTACATAGAATTAATATCATTATAAACAATATTTACTAGAAATATATTTATGATCAACTAAGAAAAATCTCGAAATAGATTTCTTAATTTTAAATTCGAATTTTTTTTTAATCTGTACTCTCAATCGCAAATAAATAATATATAAGAAAAATTTTCTCAAATTAGAAAAAGACTTTTCTACAAAACTACATTCTAATATGTAAATAACTTTGATTTCGATAAAAAAAAAACAAAACATGAATTCATAGCAGGGGTGGAACCGGTTGAGAAATATTAAAACGGTCCGGTCCGGCCGGTTGAAAAATCCTACCGGTCCGGTCCGGCCGGAAACCGGCCGGTTGGAATCACATGTCCAACCGGTGAAATTCCGGCGAAAACCGGTTAAAAACCGGTGGAAAAATATCGAATTTTTTTTTGAAAACCGATTTTTAGAAAAAATCGCTCCAAATATGAAATAGTTTAAGGCGCATGTAAAAGACGCTCATCATAATGAATCTTTTTAAAGAGAACCTCAGGAAAAACGATTAATATAACATATGTTTTGAGCACTTTTTTACCTATTCTGACAGAAAAAACATGTGATACCTTAGTTTTTATGGTCAAAGACAGGATTAACCAAGAAGATTTTTGAAAAATTTCAACCGGTGAAATTCCGGTCTTTACCGGCCCGGTACCGGTTTGCCGGACCGGTTCCAACCCTGATTCATAGAAGATAATATTATTAGTCATTTGAAAAAGTATATATATATTGATAAATATTGTTGTTCAATAATTAAAAATCCTTCTTTTATATATATACAACAAAAAAAAAAAGGAAATATATTGTAATAAATATGTTTAGTTCAATTGATCGTGCTGTAAGTGTATTATTTCCAATTGGAAGTCGTAAATATTGTCGTGGACAAACAGCATATATAATAACATTATCATTAGTTATTATTCATACACTATTAAATAGTCATTTGTTATATGGTTTCGTTATATTATCAGCAAAATCTCTATCAAGTCCACCTATTCGAATATGTCATCATCGTATAGATTCTGAAAAATATAAAAAATTTTTTTCTATTTATGATTCATATGTTGATGTTATTAAAACAAATGCTATTCCATTCATAATTATGTCTATATGTAATATAATAATAATAATGCGTGTATGTCGATCAAAATCATTAATAAATATAAATGGAAATATTCGTGGTAGAAAAGCTAAAAAAAAAATTGAAAAAGATCGTCAATTAACATTAATGTTACTTGGTTCATCTATTGCTTTTCTTTTTTTAACATTACCTACAGAAATAAATGATATTATTCGATCAAATTCAAATGATAAACTTGTTACAGAAAAAGCTTATCTTCTATCAGCTATACTTCTTTCACTTGCACATCTTAATTATGCCGTAAGTATCATGCTTTTATTTATTTATTTTTTTTTTAAATAAATTCAAAATATATTTAGGTCCATTTTTATATATATACATTGACGGGTGATGTTTTTCGACAACAATTACTTAAACTATGGCCTATTTACATTCTATGGCCTTATATAATAAAATTTCTTAGATGTAAACGATCTACTTCAACATCATCATGTGTATCAAGTACTAATCAAAGAACCTATATTAGAACTGATCTAAATTCTCAAATAGATATGTCACTTGTTGTACCAAGAATTAATGACGATAATGATAGTAGTTATACAACATAATTTTAAATAAAAGACATTTATTTGACATTAAAATAAAAAATGTTTGATTTTGTAGATTTATTGACCTATTCAATCAAGTACTTTCCTTTTTTATCTATGAAAAAGGAAGTAACATTCATTCTAATATAGAATACATATTTATCTTCATAAACTCTATGAAAGTATTACTCGAACAATATACCATAGCGACATTAAAGAAGAATGACAGCGAAATTTATTTCCGTCAAGCTAATACGATTTGCAGCTGAATATTTATCTTGATTTGTTTCTCAAACTATTATATTTAGGTCAGGTCATGAAATATTGTACTCGCAATTTAGAACTCAATATATATATATAGAATGTCTTGATTTTCATAGATCAATATCAGATTTCATTTAATTCGAATAGATTTGAATTTAATATGAGAATATGTTGTTAGTTAACTAAATGAGTATTGGTTTATATCGAAGAGATTCATCAAACAAATTCATGCAAAAAATATTTAACAAAACTGATCTTAACTATTAAAAAAAAATCAAGTTCTACTGTTAACATATCGAGTATTTTGTTTTTTTTTCATGTTATGTTTGAGTTAAGTTAAATAAAAATTCTATTAATGAATGGAAGAATAAACAATCGATTCAATTATATAATATTTTCTTTTTAAAGATTTATATATTTCGGCAAATAAAATATTTTCGTCGAAGTTCTGAGATAATCAAGAAACATATTGTAAAAATTATATAAGAATTCCATGAAAAATATTTTATTTAACTGTTTTTAAAACTATCAAAAATTACGTAATCAATATATATAAAAAGAGAGTAGCATACTTTGAAATAATGAAAAACAATTGAAATTATCATATAAATTAATAATAAGTCCGACCTTGTTGAAGCAAAATTTCAAAATATTTGCTTGGTTTATTTTCAAATAATGTAACTTTAGTTGCTT